ACACTTGCTTTTTTTTGATTTGTTTATTTACTCTAAAATGCACATTATTCTACTTCAGCAAATGTTCTTGCCTGGCTTGGCAGAGTTGGCAAAGATTTGGCTAAGAAGTAATCTATTACCAGCCTACCAGTGCCCTCAGCAGCTATGGAGATGATGGAACCAGTTCATTTTCCATAGTTCAGATACTTCCCATACTTGTAGGATTTCAAGACTCAGCTAGATACTGCTGTGTCAGACCTGAACTAGTGATAGCTCCACCTCAATGGACAGTTACACTCTGGAGGAAGACCTAAAGAAATCCCTTCCAACAGATATTGCTATGATTCTGTGATTCTATGGTGAAGACACATAGTTTTGTAGCCTCAGGAGAAATTGTGGCTGAGACTTGCCTAAATCCTGGCTTTGAAAATGTCTCCAGTTGAGCAACACAGAAAAAAACATGTCTTAAAATGATTATGTAGCCACAGATAAAGAAAAAAAAATCTTACCTGTCTTGCATCTTGCATAGCATCAGTATATTCAGGTGGATTAGCTGGCAGGACCACGGATTTCAGGTATTGCATGACAGAGGAAAGTTAAAGGAGGTATGACAGAATTTGGAAAATGCTGAAATTGTGCAAATCAGAACAAAAATTTTAAAATAGGCCATATAAAGACTCCCAAGATACATATGAAAATTAATGCATTGAGGAAATTCTATGGGAAGACTTTGGAAAGTTTAACTATCCCACAGTCTAACACAATGATAGTGAAAAACCTAAGCTAATAAATCATTTTCCATCTCTAGTACAACACTATTCTGAAAAAATAGACTTGTGTGTACAATAAATCTGGAAACGAGACAATTCATATTTATTAATAAAAATTACACAGGGTTATACTAGCAAAGTTATGAGTAATTTAAAGTGACTGATGCCTAAGAGTGAGCATTTGAGACATGAGGATAGAAAGGAAGAAAAGTTTTCCATCTATCTAACACTTAAGTTTTGGAACAGTTATCAAACAGTAAGGAACAAAACCTAGTTTACAAGGAGAACCATGAAAAATTTAGGAACTATGTTGTGTGGAAAGGTCATCAAAGATAACAGAAGATTGTTTTCATAACCCATTCAATTTTTCCATATTATTCCTTTTTTTGTGTCCGTAACACTTAGAATATGTATTTTAAAATATATTCCCTAGTAGTTGGCAAGTAGATGCAGTTGCTTAAAGATATCTTTCATAAGATGCATTGTAGGTGTGATGCAGATTTTATATTGCGTGGGTGTTTAAATGGGGGTGTCTGCATGCAAGCTAAGCATCTAAATTCCTAGTGCCGAATGCAGTCAGTGACTCCTGGAGAGCTCTTCAACTCTCAGGAAGCTTAAAGGGGGCACAGCGAGTTCAATGCAGTTGTCTATGCATAAGCATGTGGTGCCATCCGAGATGTCCTGAGATATGTTAGACATGTAGTTTGATCATGATGCAAGTCCTGCAGTCCTGTATCTTTTTGGATTGATAACAGCAGGCCAGACAATATGTGCTAGGGCATCTCAAACAGTGCTTGTTACCTAATTTTAGGGGCTGACCTGAACTCATGATTTCCTTTGACTGTAATAGGAGTTTAGACACATAGCTCCTATAGGTCCAAGAAAGTGATTATTCACCTTTACTCAGCATTCATTATGCCACATCTGGATATTCATCAAGTTTTGGAACCTCCAGTACGGGAAAGATATTGATAAGCTTGAATGAGTTCAACATAGAGCCAGGAATATGGCTGGAGGGCTGAAGTACTTGCCCCGTAAGAAGAGACTGAGAGACCAGGGTTTCTTCGGCCTGGAGAAAATAAGTCTTCAAGGACAGCTAATCACAGCCACTCAGAATCTATGGGGGGTAGGAGGTTACCAAGAAGATGGAGCCAGACTCCTGAGGTGTATGGCAGAAGAATGAGAGACAGTGGTCACAAACCAAAGTGGAAAAGTTCTGACTGCACATAAGGAAACAACTTTTTCCTTATGAGGATAATTAAGCATTTGGAACAGGTACCCAGGGAGGTTGTGGGGTCTCTGCTCTTGAAGGTTTGCAAGACCTGACTGCACAAGCCCTAAGAAAACTGGTCTGAATTCAGGAGGCTGGACTACCTGAGACCCCTTTCAAACTGTATGTTTGAAGCGAACACCTAAATTTAGGTGGCTTCATCTGTGAGCAGAATTATTCCCTACCAGCTAACTGGCAAACATTAGATGAAAGCCCACGCTGAGAAACTCAGCAGATGTTAATTAAAATGCTCCTTCCCACAGCACTGAAAATAAATAATTTAGAAAAAAAAAAGCTTGAACAGATAAAGTTGAGCAACAGGAGAACACTTAGAGTAGAAGAACAACTATGACTACTTAAATGTTTTCATCTGTTACCCAGTTCTTATTTTCTCAGTGATTTATATTCCCAAGGCGATTTCAGTTTAAATAAAACATTACCCTGAATGCCAGCCTGCCTGAATGAGAAGACTGGAAAGAGCATAACTGTGAAGTTATGAAATTGTTAACATATATTGAAATAATTCTGTGTAAGATGGTGTGGAGTCTTACATTACTAGGACAATTTATCTGGGGACAATGGCCCCAAGAAGGGGCCACTTCCCTGTAAGTAAACATAGAAAGGCTGACATGTTGCACCATGTGTTTGTCCTTTAGCCCATGTCCACATGCTGGTCTGGTACTTGGCCCATGTGCTGCCCAGACATCTTGTGCTGTGAACACATGTATAGTATAGAAGTTTACATATGCCCAGGGATCTAGTTGAACTATCCTGGATGTAGATGTAGATGTAGATCCAGAGCACATGTTCCTGAAATATATCTACCCATACAGCATGCCCATTGTGGAAAACTTGTGAAGATATGGTTCTGATACTACATTCTGCTTAGTTTTCCAATAGCATCCTGGAAGTGCTGAATATTACATAAGCTTATTGGATAGACTTTTTATTTAAAATTTCTTGATCGTTTTTCAAGTTATGAAAGGTAAATATAAGCTTATATCCCAAGCCTGCTCTATGCAACATGCTCCTGTTTCAACCTACCTAGTCCTGGCTCTGTCTGCATGTAGATGTTTACCCAGTATCTTGCTAGTGGGCTAAAGATCACACCTGGCTTTTTGTTAACTCTTGGTGTGAGGATGTCAGGGTCAATGATTTTGGAACACACAGCAGAAATGTTATATTCATTTGAAGGCAGGAATGGAGATCAGCCAGCCTGCTCTACAGCACACTGTTTGCAATCAGAAGAATTGCCAGGGATTCTTGGACTGTGGCCAACTCCGTTATTCTTTTGGAAGCTATTGAGGGAAGGGAGGGTGACAGCTGAAGGAAATACATCTGTTCCCTCACAGTCTTGCCATACTGTTTCCCACTAGTCAAGATGAATTCCAAGCTGGAGAAAACTAAAAAAAACCTCAACCGTTGATATTCAAATTCACTACAAATAGGCTTCCCATTACAAAAAAAATGTCAGGTATTTCAGGCTAAGTTGTGATAATTCAGATTCTTTGAAAAACAGTGGTAGCCAAAATCTGTTTTAGACCTAGACAACTGCAGTAGCATTCAGTCAAATCTGGGTTATCTATATCCTTGTAGCTATTGCAGATGGTTGTTCACTGAGGTTGTTCAGTTTGTCCTCTGTCCGTTTGCACAGTCACACACTCACCCGAGATACTAACTGCACTTACACGGTGGGATGAAGAGGAAAAAAAAAGGGGGAGAATAGAGATCACACTCTTTTATAAATATTTGTGGGCTATTTCAGCATACTCTTTGCATCCCTTTGAATTTTACCCTAGCCTTGGCTATCGGTACCCCAAAACATTAATTGCCAAGGGGATGTGAGTTCATGGGAATCCTCAGATAGTTTTATAAGGTAGTCATGATCACAAAGATTAATCCATATTAGGTTCAGCATCATGCAGAATGGACATAATTTTCCCCTTATTGGTCTCTTCTTCATAAGAATTTCAAATTACCAGTCTCCTGATTTCATTTAAGAGCATGAGTGCCCTAACTTTAGACAAGATTGCATACAAATGTGTGCTATAATTCTTTTTATTAGATCTGTTTATTGTGACTAAGAGACTGAGGGAGAACAGAAGAAATTAAATCAAAATTACTATTCCTGCCTGCCACTAACAGTGTGCAAAGACATCCTTGGGGATAGACAAATGAAATCGTCACAGTCATGATACAACTTACTGCACAAAAAGAACAAGGGTTATGTAGTGATTGACGATCTTCCAGCTTTTAACACTATACTAGAATAGAGCCCTAAAGTTGTTTTGCCATGTGGACCTTTTCCTCATTTGGATTGCCCCTTGAATTTTCCCTTATTTTTTTCTATTGAATTCTCAGTAGACTTACAGTCCCAATGAAAGTAATTTATTTCACATGTGTTATTTTTCATTTTGCTGAGAAAAAACATCTAAGTCTCGACCCTTCTTGCAATAAAAAGATTATTTTTAGGGCAGTTAAAAGCCTTTTTTTTTTTTTCCCCGAATCAGGTGACTCAGACCTTAAAAAAAAAGGAAAAAAAAAAGAAGAAAACATGGAAAAACATGTTTCTTTGTGCTGCCTTTAGGATGTGGTCTTTGCCCCAGGAGCCTAGAGAATTGCAGTTACGATATGTCTGAGCTCAGGGGCCTATCTTTCCGTCTACGTACAAGCATTCCTTGTTAAACTGGAGCATACACTTATGGCTTACATGAAAACTATTTGAAAGAACTCTCACGAGTGATATCATTGAAGTATGATTTCGGCCAGAGGTATTTACAATTTAGGTTTTTGACTGAAGTAATTTAATTATGCCGAGCCTCTGAAGTTTGCCTTTTATTTATATATTTCACCCAATTGTATTTCTTGCTCTCCTATTGGCTAAGATAACTGCAGCCTACCAGATGATTCTGGAGTTACATAAGGCTCTATTTGAAGCCTATATAAAGCCTTTTAGCACTCCAGCAAGAGCCACAATTTTATCGAGATACAGGTTCAGTGCGTTAGGTTCACACATGCACGAAGAGATTTGTTTGAAGACGTACTGAAACCTGAAGCCGGCTGGTTTATTTACCAGCCAGTCCTTCACAGCTGTCAACCTGAGTCTCAATAGCAGCTACTGTAAGTAGCTTGTGTGCACGATGAAGAATTTTTCATTTCCTATGCAAGATAGCACACATCAAACTGAAAGTCCTTCTCCTCACAGATTCCTGAGCTTGACAAATAAGTCAGATCCTGGTGGAAGACCAGAAAGAGATGAGCAATTGGCTCAAGTAGAGATCGCTGTGCTGGGGGTGATATTTCTGACAGCATCTGTGGGCAATTTTATTCTCATACTGGTACTGTGGAGAAGAAGAAAGAAGCTCTCTAGAATGTATGTATTCATGCTTCACCTCAGCATAGCTGACTTAGTGGTAGCATTTTTTCAAGTTTTGCCTCAGCTGATTTGGGATATTACAGATGTTTTCATAGGACCGGATTTCTTGTGCAGAGTTATCAAGTATTTACAGTTGCTGGGCATGTTTGCTTCTACTTATATGATAGTGGTCATGACAGTGGACAGATATCAAGCAGTTTGCTACCCTATGGTGACTTTTCAAAAGAAGAGAGCCCTGTGGAACATTCCCGTTTGTACCAGCTGGTCTTTGTCACTGCTGCTTAGCCTCCCACAGGTATTTATCTTTTCTAAGACTGAAATATCTCCGGGCATCTTTGAATGTTGGGGTGAATTTATTCCACCATGGGGCCCAAGAGCATATGTAACTTGGATTTTTGTAGTTATATTCTTCATTCCCTCAGCCATCCTTATTACATGCCAGGTTAAGATTTGCAAAATAATCAAAAGGAATATATATGTGAAAAAACAGAATGAATATGAAGTACCAAATCAGAAGCAAGTCCTGCCATCCCGTGCAAGCAGTGTTAACTGTATTTCAAAGGCTATGATCAAGACTGTAAAAATGACTGTGGTGACAGTTTTTGCCTATGTTCTTTGCTGGTCACCTTTCTTCATTGCACAGCTGTGGTCCGTTTGGTTCCCAAGTGTTGTTACTGAAGGTAAGATCCTCTCCAATCGTCCTTAACAACCTGATAGCAGGCTAACACTTTGCTACCGGGCTCTTTATGTGGACTTCACTTTTGTGTAAAGTTACAGGTAATCATTTGAATAGGATTAAAAATGAATGGCTGAATTGTTTAGCTCATATATTTCACTAGATATAGAGAACCTTTTTATATTACATGATTAAAACATCATATCGTGGGTATTTTGTTTGTGAGTGTGTGCATGTGTGTGTCTGTGTATGTTTGTATGCATACATGCATGCTTTATGTATGGATTTTTCCTGCAGGCAAGACTTATTAAACAAGATTGATTAATCTTTAATGATTAATACACAGTCCAGTAAAAAGTATCATCTGCTTCAGCAGGGATTCAGTTCATATTTGTGTGGATTTTAGATATTATAGTAAAGCATATGGAGCTCTTGATATGAAAAGGAATAATTATTCGAATTATTTAATGTGTAGGACAGTAATGGTATAAGACATTTGAAATATTTTTGAATATTGAAGTATTTGCAGTAAACTATGGAACAATTAAAAGTTGCTTAACAGCTGTTAAGCAAGCAAGTCTGAAATATCAAAGGACACATATACAAATAAAATTAGTCTTGTCAAATTTATACCGTTGCCTCTTTTTGAAATGCAGATTTTGTATGTGGATTTATATATCAAATTAACCTATTAAAATTGTGGCTATTAATCAAAGAAAAATAGGTAATAGCCTAATGGAAAAAAAAAATCTTATGGTCTTTGTTTGAGTTCTTCCCGTAAGTGAATTCTGAGTCTTAGTCTCTATTTCTATCAATAACTGTATTTGCATTTATTTTTGCCTGTGTATGTGTATCAAGTTAACAATTTTTTGATTAGCTTTTGAAAACCATGCATCTACATCAAAAAAAGTATACAGAATTACTTAACTCTGAAATGCATGCAGCTACAGTGTTTTATACCTTAGACAAATAAAAATTTCATTGAACAAATAGAAGTTTCCTGGTATTACTTTAGCTTTAGTGTGTGAACAGGTATACCAGAAGCATCAGATTGTGATAATGTTACTAATTTCAATGACTGCTTTACTTACTCTGTTCCTTTAACTATTTTATTCTAGGATCAGCATTCACCATTATCATGCTCCTTGGCAACTTGAATAGTTGTATCAACCCCTGGATTTACATGTATTTCTGTGGGCACATTCCATATTGCAAAAGGAAGCAGCTGGAGAACACTTCAGCTCAAGATGAATCTGTGATCACAGGAAGCATTCATCTGGTAGACAGAGACCCTGAGGAAAACAGCACTTTGGCATAAATGTGGAATGCTTTTTGCTGTTTTGTTACATTTGCTATGTTTGCAAGTCATATCAATATTTTACCACTATGCCTTGTTTCGTGGATAAATATATTTTTTTTT